TTACATAGACTTTTCAAGGATGATGTAGTTTATCCACTTTTTTCAGTCGTGTGATGGAGACTACCATGGTGGAGAAGACACACAATTAATGGCCAAGCACTTTTATATACTGAAAGTAATGGCTCTCTCCACTTAGGTATCTAATGTATAGAATTTTTTTTCATTACGATGATGCATTACCTCAAATTAATTCGATTAAAGTTTGAAGTATACCATATCTGAGATTTTCTAAACGACCGGCGAAGCAACTGCATCACAAACCGGGTTGGAGAGAAGCTTCTGCTACATGGTTGAGTCCAACAAGGCTAGAACATAAATGAATACTCGAATTTATCAAGTTGACTTTCCAGCTGTCAAAGTAATGGTATAAAAAGTACAATTATCAACTATAATTTTATTTATGAAATAGACATTACATTGATTTGTAGTAAACGATAAAATTATAATGAGTGTTCAAAAATTAATGAAAGGTTTAAAAGCAGGGATAATTCTACGCCCAACAAGCAAAATAATCTCTATATGAATGCACACATTTATTACTTGCCTATGGATTTTTACATTGTCATAACTTACCTAAGGGCTGAAATGTGACCTACCTAGAGAATTCTGTAAGTAATAGCGATTTCTCATGTTAATAGTGACAAAATGGCATCAAGTAGTTTGAGTCTATACTGCCTTCGCAATCTAGTACAATTATTATTAGCTCAAGTTGCCATATAGTGTATATATACAGGGTGACTTTGAAGTTGAGTCATTAATTTTCAGATAATGATTGTAGAAGGAAGATAAACCAAAATATGTGTGTAAAAATAAAAAAAAATTAAAAAAAAAATGTTACCTTGTTTTATAAAGTATCCTCCCGACAAGTATTTCAGTGCGGACCTGTGCGCCCAAAAGCATGTCACAAAAACTGTTCGAAATGATTTCCGTTTTGCTCGACGCACAGCTGGGCGCGTCTTAGCCATGTCTCTTTACAAGCACGCAATAAAATCACTGGTTGATTTCTGATCACTGTACTCATTTCCTCAATTCGAGCACGTAATTCTTCGCGTGTATTAACCGGTGTTTTATACACTAGAGTTTTTAGCCAACCCCACAAACAAAAGTCTAAAGGATTTAAGTCCGGAGACCTTGGCGGCCAAGGTACAAAACCGCCACGGCCGATCCAACGATTATTAAATTGTCTATTTAAAAATTCACGCACATCTCTTGCATAATGGGGTGGTGCCCCATCTTGTAAAAACCACATGTTTTGTCTAATATTTAAAGGCACATCTTCCAGTAAACCAGGCAAATTGTGTTGCAAGAAATCAAAATAATTTTCACCAGTTAAGCGATTTGGTAATTCAAAAGGCCCCACTAAAATTCCATTAACAATTCCCGCCCACAGGTTGATTGGTTCAAATCGCTGTTGAAAATTGGTTTCCCTTATTTCATGGGGATTTTCAATAGCCCAAACGTGAGAATTACGTGAATTAATAATTCCGTTTCTAGTAAAGAGGGCTTCATCACTCACTAAAATTTGATTTGAAAAATTGTCATCATTTTGATGTTTATTTAAAAGCCAATTGCAAAAGTCAACCCTTTGTTCATGATCTTCCGGTTGTAAGGCCTGCACTTTTTGTATGTGAAACGGATAGAACTGATTTTCACGTAGAGTTTTCCAAGTTTTATACTGACTAATCGCCAATTGAGTTGAAATTTGTCGGGTGCTTACTGTTGGATCATCACTTACTAATTCTAAAATTTGTTCTTCTAGTTCTATTTGATCGTGTGGTCTTGGAGCACCGGCATGATCTCGTCTGTGAGGTCTTAAGTCACCTGATTCACGAGCTCTTTGCACTACATTAACAAAGGCACGAGGGGTTGGTTGCACTCGATTGGGAAACCGATCCGCATAGATCCGTGATGCCGCGGCAGAATTATGTAAAGACTCCCCGTAAATAAGAACCATGTCCACAAGTTCAGCATTTTCGTAAACATGTGCCATTTTTGATTTGAGCCTCGCAACAGACACGATTATTCACTTACGCGTTACCGACTACCGACTGATACTGACTGTATACAACTGAAGAAAATAATTGTAAAAAGATCGTTCCAAATTCTTTCGCTTTTTTGTTTCCGATGCGATGAACGGATAAGGCGGATTATATCTGTTGTTGCCAAACACGAGAACATAATATCATTATTGAGACAGGGCGGTACTCAAACTTCCAAAGGGCTATAACTTTGTTACTTTAATTTTACCAGAAAAATGGTAAAGGAAAAAAACATTTCTTTTGATCAGATCTACTCACTGTTAAAATAAATGACTCAACTTCGAAGTCACCCTGTATATACAGGGTGTTAATAAAGTATGTTAACAAACTTTAACCATGGTATCCTTGGTCAATAGAAGACGAAATTTCCATATGAACATGGGTCCGCAACGGCTTTGTTTTCAAGCTAGAGCATATTAGCACTAAAAGAAATGATATTGTTCTAAAAAATTGTAAAAGAATGGAACGTATTTTATTTTAATTAAGTATGCCCTGTGGTGAATATCACATGATTTACAATTGTTTTCAGACCCTCCATGTACGTAGATACGGATAATGTTATCCAGTATTTTTTGAAAAAATAGCATGACATTGATTTGTTTTGATCGCAATACTTTTAATATTTGAGCATTGTGCTTATCTAGACACCTATGACGTCCCCGAAAATAATTGAATTAATTTATTTTCTCAAATAATTCGTGGCCACCTTGAACATTTATTGTAAAAAAAAGCTATTCGATATTTTCTTTTGTAGTCATTCTATTCGAATGTTACTGTTCAAAACTATTGACCTTCTTAATATTTTTTTTCCAAAAATAAAGGATAATATTATTTTCATCCACGTTCATATTGAGTCTCAGCAACTTGTAAACCAAGCAAAATTTATCATAGGCTACACCAACTGTTCAGTAAATACGTTTCATTATTCATAGAAACATTTGGAACATAACTCGTATTTCTTTAGTGATAGTGCTCTAGCTCGAAAAGAAAGCCGTTACGGACCCATGTTCGTATGAAAATTTTGTCTTCAAATTGACCAAGGATTCGATGGTTAAAGCTTGTCTACATTGTTTATTAACACCCTGTATATACACATATCGCGCCCATCTCATGTGTGCATATCGCGTCACCGCGCCCGCCGCCTGCTACTTGCACGGTAAGTGCGACCGACACGTTTGAAATCCGACTGCTGAAAATATTTCTACACACACGTCAAAACCGGAATGTTCGAGCGATTTTTCCGTTTTTGCCATTTTTCTTCGCCACCACTGGACCGATTTTCCAAAACTACAAGGCTTTTTCGACCTTGATGTAGTAGTAACCTTGTGTAATAATTTCTTCAAAAGCTCCTTCATCCTTGGTATAGTAGTAACCTTGTGTGAAAATTTCATCCAAATCCGAGCAGTGCTTTCCAACTTATAGACATGACAAGGATTTGCGGACAACCGACAACTAGACTGACGGAAATGAGTGACAATGGTTTTACGTGATGTTGTACATGTCATATAACATCCAAAAAACATAATGTCTCATTTTCGATTTTTTTCGCGATTACAATATTCCCTCGCTAGTAGGCGTGGGATGTAAAACGTATTTGAATAAATACATTTAAATTATTTGTATAGTATTATCTGCAGGAGGAGTCAGCCAATAAGATTAGAGGATTCCGGATACTGATAGATTATGATCAAACATTTCCTGCCAAACTGTTTTTTTACCTTCTCTACGTAACTTAAAAAGTGATATTATTTTGGCTTTCTTTTTGGCATGATGTCAACTATTTGCACACTAGCCTACTTAGTGAACAAGTTGGCGTTTTAACGGTTTTTTGACACTATATAGGTTTTTTACATAATAACCCTGCCGAACACGCCCGAAAGCGAATTTATAAGCACGGTGTATGTACCTTAGTCGCTGGCGCACTGTTCAGTACAATGCGGGAGTACGATATTTGCACGACGCCGCTAAATCTGCGAGATTGGCTGCACTCCAGTGCAGTATAAGAGTACAAGAGCATAAGGCCAGGGACCAGGGAAAGGCTAGAAGTAGAAAGGAATTTGTCGTGACGATGGTATACTCACGACCCAACAGCAGCGACCAACACGGACAGCGCCAGCGGTACCACGGTACCATGGACCGTGGACCACGTCGGTACTGTGATCGCGAATCCTATCTCGCATCCTCCCTCTGCCATGGGCGCACTCTTCTACCTCATAATCATAAAGCAACTACAAGTCTGGATTGAGGTCGTACTAGCTGGTTACACTACATTAAATCAAATTCCCAAGATTTTCCATGTGGTCGTCTCTTTTTAAGATGCTTTTTTATTATTTTTTTTATATTTTTATTATTATTATTAGCTTGGCCTGTATGTATATGTAACGGAATCTTTAAGCATAATTTTCACAAATTTTTCGCACACGTATCAAGGACCGATGACAATGCAATCATTTTCCATTATCCTTATTCATAAGTAAAATTCTGTAAAACGCAGATGTTAATAAAACGCCACGGATTTTAAATGCCGTTTTACGATTACCGAAACTACAAGCCTATGTAGCTCAGTGGCAGAGCACCGGTCTGGTAAACCAGGGATCGTGAGTTCAAGATTGTGGTAAACCTTTCTTAACACGTTTTTATTAGCTTGGCCTGTATGTATATATGTATGAATGTAACGGAATCTTTGAGCATAATTTTCACCAATTTCCAGAAGTTTGATTAATTTGAAACCTCGCGCACGTATCAAAGACCGATGACAATGCAATAATTTGATAACAGTTTTCCATTATCCTTATTAGGACCGCTAGGATTGATTGATGAATTCTTTTATAGATCCTCTGTTGGGAAGTAAGAAAGATAGAACTAGCACGCGATCTGCGAATGGGTGCAGTTTCGGACTAACTCTTTGTCGGTTCGTGCACTCGGCACAGCACAACGGAGGCAGATACTTTTTCAAGGTAGTGCATTCTCACCTTGTTCATTGCGAATGTTGCCATTAATCCAAAGATACAAAAAGTGCAAAATTCTTGTTTAAGGCTAATTTATGTATGAAGCAGAGTAGTTAAATATGTATAATAGAAGCCTACTCCATACAGCTTGTTTATATCACAGATTTATTATTTCAAAACAACCGATATATCTTTATAATAAAGTAAGATCTCGCACTGTTGCATACTAGACTACTTTAAATGTTAGGTTTAAGGGTCTATTGTCTCCTCTAAGATTTCAATACGATTTTTTATTCGATGTTTTACCTATCAGATTTATAGGGACTATGGTTTCAAAGACGAAATTAAAAATAAATAATATTTTGGGATTCAAAGGCTATGTCAAGCAAGTATTAGCTACCAAGAAAAGTCTATAAGTAATTCAAATCGAACAAGCCAGTATTTTATTGGATATACTTATATAATGGAATTATTAGCAGAATAGTATTTTGGTTAGGATTACTTAGAATATAATATGATTTAAACGGTTAAGTGGAAGGTGGAAGAACCCTTTTTTTTTAATTGTAAGTTCTATTTGTTCTGTTGTTTGGAGAATAAAGGCGTTTATTATTATTACTATATTTCACTAACAAACTTGTCAAGTTAAATAAGAGCTTTTAATAAAAAAGGGCAGCCGCAAACGGCCGGCACCGGCGCGGTAATACCGTAAATTCCTCCTTCTGTTTCTAGATTCGGTTTTTAATTCTAGAACTACTTATGTAAGATAGCTAAGAAAACTATTTAATGTCTCACTCAAAATCGGATATCGTTTAATGTTTTTCCATACGTTTCTGTTTCAGGGTATAAACATGCTTCTAATATGATAAAAAGAAGTCGGACGGATTGAATTTGTATGTCCCACTGGTCCGTCCTTACAATGTGCCGTACGAGCTACAGTTCTGATAAATGTGAGGTGAATCGTATTTTCTCTTTGAAATTGATAGTTTGATTTGATAGATGTCATTCTATTTACGTATCACGTTAAACAATTGATTCATGCTGGTAGATTTCTTACGCACAAAATAGAGAGGATTGTAAGGCCTCTTGCACACGACCGATCATTCCGCCGACCGGTTGTTTCTCCGCCCAGCAAAGAAATCGGGATTATCTTACACATGATAAGCGATCGGCCGGTTACGTGCCGTTTACTTTGCCTTCTGCATGAAGGCCAGTGCTGTACTGTCATCCGACGTAGAAAGAGCTTGGCTATTTTCGTTTCGTGCATTGTCAAAAATGAAACGTGAAAAGAAGATCGCGCTTGTGTGTTTATTGTATAGACGAAGAAAATACAAGAAAGCTTTAGCAAGAAAATTATGGATTCATCCACTGGTAGCTGAAAGAAGTGCAGTAGGAGCATTTTATACCTTGTTTACAAGACTACGAGAGCATGAAGCAAAATTTTTCAATTACTTTAGGATGTCTGTTGCAACATTTGACACAGCAACAACGTGTATTTAATTACCGTTTATCACGTGCCAGGCGTTATGTTGAATGTGGATTCGGTATTTTTAGCAACAAATGGAGAATCTTTCATCGACCTATAAACGTACATCCCGAATTCGCCATTGACATTGTTGTATCTTGCATAATTTAGTACGAATGCGAGATGGTTTTAATATCGGCGATGTCTTAGAAATCATAAACCTCGAAGACATACCAAGAGAGCGAAATTTGCGAGGATCAAGAACCGGGAAAGATATACGGGACCATTTAACAAAATATTTCAATAGTAGTGAAGGATCTGTACCGTGGCAATTAAGTAAAATATAGTTCATATTGTTTCTTATCTTAAATAGTTACATACCTATTTCGGCTTTTTCTGCTTCGTTCAGGTTTTCATAAATAAATGTATCGATGATTTCTTACAGGCGGCTTTAGTTTTATTCCTATCCTTAAAATCCTCTCTTGTCTTGTCCCATATCACGGGCCTTTCTTCCACCATAGAAATAAATGCCTCAATATCTAAATTTTCCATTTCGCACCTCATGACTACACTGTCTAAACGGAAATGAAACTACGACTCTGTACCACGGCGACAGTAGAATCCCCGTTCGTGTGTCAACAGGCATAAACTTGCATGCATTGAAATGAACGCGCCGGTTAATTTACCGACCGGCAGCCGTGTGTTCGCCGTCCAAATTTTAATATGAACGGCGGCCGGTCGGCAGAATAGCCGGTACCGGAAAGTGTGTTAAGTTGTATCCGAATGTTGGTAAAATAACATCTTCCGATTTTCTTGCCGGTCGGTGGAACAGCCGGTCGGCGGATTGCACGTTCGTGTGCAAGAGCCCTAACGATTTATCTCTTAATGTACAAATTCTCAATATGCTTCATTTTCGACGGAAAAAATGACTTCTCCTTGTCTTGTCAATTCCAGCTGCGATAAGTACTTCTAGTAGTGAAGTATTCGGCACGTATAAAGTTTTCTGAGCTTAACCATTCCCCCTGTTATAAGCTGTCTAGAAAAGTGTTTAAGTATTTATGGTCATCGAAGGAGTACTTTTAGCATCCGCGTTAAATAATCGATTTCTCCGCAAAGCATCCAAAGCTCCGCCGTTGCCTTCATGGAAACGCCACGCAGTAGTGCCGATATCGATGCGAGCGGTACCCGTACCCAGTATACCACCACCGATCGAGGATCCAACAAAGAAAAAACCAGAAGCGCACACCATACGATAGAATGCGTGCCCGTCGCGGATACCTCATATTGGGTGGTCCCTCTAACCTACTATAGCGTACCAAGGATAAAATGAAGAAATATACTGCATCTATTGTTTTATGTTATAGCGTGTGGATAGTAGAAAAAAGTAGCGTCATGCATGTTGACGCGACTTTCGGAACAACTCACTCTAAGTTTTGTTTTGGGGGAAAAGCATATTCAGCCAGTATTAAGACGCCATTGGGTCTACTATAGGCCATTCCTAGAGGTTTTTCAGATCTAGTAAAGAAGACGGTGATGCGACTCGGGCTTAGTGGAGCTTCGCTTGCATTGTATCATCTACTACCCTCACATTATGTAGGTGAGTGATTACTCATAGATCGAAGACAGAATTTTCTTTCTGTGGCCGTAGACGTCAGAATTAGTTCATAGAAAGTGTTCCTCCATATTCCTAACTGTGTGTGTAGACCATCATTAGGATTATCTGGACCTCTTTTAACAACAGGGGTACTACTCCCACTTAATCGTGCACTCCATGTCCAGGGGTCCATATTACTGAGATGAGGCATGTCGCCGCAATGGTGTTTAGAAGCAATCTTTATTGTAGGATCAACAAGTACGTTACGTTATTGGCACTAGATCGCTCCTTGCCCTACGTACATATATGGAATCAGATGACAGTATACTTGTGTACAAATACAGGCTCCAATTCCTTTATGAACTCTTTCTTGGTTCAGTCTTCTATGAACTGCTTAAAGCGTATTTTAACCACACCACAGATTCGCTCTGAGCCTATTATGCGTTTAGCAGTACCCCTGTTCGAGCCCGCATATTTTGCTTCTCATTTTCTTTTTATCCCTTAAATCTCAACACCTCTCTCATCACCTTGAATGTATTTTATGCACTTCTCTAGCCGCTTGGAAAATGTTTACGCCAGATTCGGTTGCTAGCTGAGATCTGGATTAGGTCAAGTTTCTTCATGTCAATTCGCAGTTATCTTACCCCCTCCTTAAATAACTCAGTAGCCAAATACCAACTTAACAGTAGTGAATTATCAAGAAAGGGGTTAATAAACTTATTAACGTATCTCCGATTAGCGAATTCCCCTTGCAAGTACTGAGTGACTGCCGATCAAATCTGAGAACCGCCGAAGTGCTCGCAATGCAGCGATGGTGATACAATGGAGTATCATGCCCTAATTGTCAGTACCACTATTTACCTTTTGAAAGCACATCTAAAGATTGTGACGAAATGCATGTACTATCTTAGGAGTGGCCAACGGTCAAGCAAGGGATCAATAAAAATGTAGCACTGTTTTTCCATAGGGAAGTCTGCAGAGAACAGAACTGCGTAACGCTTCCTGGGCAGTCATCGAGCCTTATTTTGGCGGTACAGCTCTCCTCCTTAAAAGTGGCGAATTACCAGGCAAGGGTCAACAAACTTGTATCTCTATTCCCCCGTAGGAAGGTTTCCTTGCGGATACTGGCAGACTGCCGCTCAATTCGCAAAACCACCAAAACGCCTGCAACGCAGCCGCCGCCTTATATTGTTGGTACCGCTCTCGACCACTTTGGCACATTTTCACGAATTGCAATCAAACGCCAGTACTACTCTGACAGTGGCGAATTATCAAGCGACGAGTCAATAAACTGTTAGATCTATGTTATTTCCCCATAGTGAAGTCTCCTTGCGAGTGCTGACTGACTGCCCCTCAATTCCTAGAACCGCCAGAACGCTTGCAACGCAGTCATGGTGCTGCTATGGCCCGCCGCTCCTTGTTTTGGCAGTACCTCTCTCTCTCCCCACAGCCCCTTCCCCTACTTTCAGGCCAGTCTACGTGGGCCTAGACGCACAAAAAATGCAAATTATTCAATATAAGAACGGTCGACTGAAGGTCATAGACTGTCTTGACTTGATTGTGATTTGCGCGACGTTAGTTTGCTATGCGTATTTAGAAATGGTACCTACAGCGATGCCATCTTGGGTTTTTGTCCTTGGTTCTAAAGAGACTCTATTACAATAAAAATATATTCATTTGATTGTGCGATTACAACCTCCTTTTCCCAGCAGAGGAAGGATCCAAGTGAACGAATTGTTAAGGCGCAAGAGATATTAGAATTTTTTGACAGAACTGCTTTCAGTCAGCAGGAATCAACTCTATATAGTAACAGATCTTTATACAGCACGCAGTGACCTTACAATGTCCACACTAAATACGGCTGTATGACATTGTGGAGAAGTGAGAGTTGTAGTGGGAAGTCTTTGAGAAACCTAGACTTGAACTATTGAAATTTCATCTAGTACCACTATAAAAACTGTACTAGTAACCAGTCAAATATGAGAGACTTACGTATAACTTCATCAAATCCGAATATACAAAGACTTCCTCAAAATATAGACGAACTAATGTTTACTAGCTAAGCTTAAGGCTTTTCCGTACTTGCCATGGGCAGTGGTACTTCAAGTAATTTTTAGCATATTCATTTGGCAACGTTGGCCAAACACCCGAAACTGTAGCGTGAACGAATTTCAAATGCGAGACCGTTGACAAAGCTGGTTTTGAGTTGCAAATTGGATATAATTGGTACACAAAGCGTGTAGATTATTTGGGTGGTACCTATCGATAAACTAAAATTGTCACTGCGTATGTCCTCAAAAACGAATCAGAATTCAAGTTATTAAATTTTGAATCTAGTTAAGTAACTGGAATTGTTAGCGAATATTGTTCACTTGTTTGGATTTTCATCTGAAAGTGCTAGAAATGTTAACACTCTTATTAATAATTAACCAGAACCGGATCCAGAGAACTGTTGGTGGGAACTCTGAGGCCCGGTGCTCAA